GGATTGTCTTAGCTTGAGGAGACACTTTCTGGACTAATTTTATACCTACTTTACTTGGCTGTTTTTCCTTCCTTCCTCTAAAAATGATTCTGCCTCTGTTATAGTAAAGAACAACTCTCCAATTGCCTTGAATGAATGTGGGGTACTGGAGTGAATGACAAAATACACTCGTGCGCTCTCACTGTGATAAAGAAGTCCATACCATGTCCCTGCAGAGAGGATGCAACTTCCAGCGATGGCTGTCGCTGGAACAGCGCCTGTGCAGGGGTTCAGCGGGGCGTTACAGAGCAATTTCACAAGGTGTTCTGTCAAGTACCAAGAAGAGCAGCACTGAACTAAAAGGAATGAGAAAGCCAACACAAGGCATCCTAGAAAACATCATCAGCATCCATACGGAAATGGAGAAACTAACACTTTTACGCCATTATCTCCTATTGATATGCCTGGGTGTAACACTGTTTTGCTGTTTGCCACAATTTTTGGTCCCACCTCATTTTTTTTCCCTTCAAAAGTACTGTTTAATCAAATGAGGGAGAAATAACAGCTAGACTGGGTGTGACATTTTTTGCATGCATACGTGTGTGCTCACTAAATATGAGTGAGAGACGTGGAAGTTGTTTTCTAAGCAGAATTATTTTTCTGTTGTGTATAAAAATAACACAATTAGTGTTTCTAGCTCCTGAGAAGACTGTAAATAATGTGCAGATGTAGGAAAGGAAACACAGACAATGGTAGGCAAAAGGTATTTCCATCTCCCACTGCAGAGTGGACCAAGGTAAAATCCCATTACCAAGCTCTTTCAAAATTACTTCGAGGTATAGAGTCTTGGTTGGCTGTTCAGCTGGTGGAACTGAACTAGCTCCAAATCTTATAACAGATGAGGCTTTAACCCAGAAACTTCAGGATTATAAATGCTTTACAAGTGACAAAACTCCTAAGGCTGAAGATTTTGCTGCATTGCCCTGATCTTCTACAGTCAAGACCATCGCTGGGATGAATGAATACTAAATCCATCAGTCTGTGCTTGGAGGATTGCTCTAATTCCATCCTAATGATTGTGTGTCTGAAACAGGTATCTTGACTGTATATGCAAATTTTCTAAAATACACTGGATACTGAATAAAGGCAGATTTCAGAGAAACAAAGCCCTACTACTTTTAAGAGTCCCTCTGATTTGTTTTTAAATACTGTATTGTCAGTATAGTCTCAGTGATTCAGCCAGTCTGAAAACACTAAAGGCAGTCTCATGAGGGAAATTAGACAGGATTTGTATAGCAGAATTAATATGGCAGATCCTCATATCCTGTGGAGTTTTATGTGCTTGTAAAAATAGAAAAAAAATACAAAAGGTGAACTCTGGAGTATATAGTGGAATTACTGTCATCTGCTCCATGATCTCATAGGGTCTAGAATGATATTGAAAGTAATTACTGATTCGTTCCAATTCAGGAAAGCTTTCTGACCAAACCCAAGCTTACATCTCGTGAAAAATCAACAGGAGTAAAGCACATGTGAAAATTTAAGCATGTCTTTAAGTTCTTTCCTGAATCAGGGCTGTCCCTATATTTAATTGACTAAGGTACAATGCCTGTGCATCGTTTCTTTTTGTATTCAAATCTATATTAGGGATCCTACAAAGCCAAAGGTAACTAGTTTTGAAGGTAGGTAACATTCCACATGCATTTCTGTACAACAACTCATGCAATATTGGCATTAATACAGACTTAAATATGTTACAGCTGAAATGCTCACTGACTCCTCCTACTGCCCAGGCATTTCTACCCAGAAAACTGCTTTTTAAAACTTGGGACTTTGACAGCATACCCTGTTTTCTTTGTGGCTTCTACTGGCTTGAATGGCTATTTTTCCCACTGAACAATTTTTCTTTTTCTTCTTTTAGGCCTTCTCAAGGTCCCCCTAATTCCCTGAAGGAATTGCTGGGCTCAGCCCCACCCCAGGATGATCCATATGCAAACAAAACTCCACTCCTGTAGGAGCACTTACAGGATCAGGTTTTAGATGTGTCTCTAGGTGCAGCTCAGGAGGAAGGCCTCAGTGATTCCTTAGCACACTCCACCAGGAAGAGCATCTTCAAATAACCAAACACTACGTGAGGCAGGAAGGAAAGGAATCACTTCTCAACAGCTACCTCAACAACCATCCATCCCAAGGTTTATTCACCCCTTGGGATCCTGCTTTCACTTATACAAAGTGAACTCATGGATGCGGGATGAAAGCACACCTCGGACTCGTTTCCTACCACCATCAGCTCTAGCAGTGTGGTCCGCTTACGGATAGCCAAGATTTGGGTTTTCCTGGTGGTGTGGTGAGTGTCCCGTATCGACTAGCGAAAGAACCTAGATGTGATTTCATGGCTGTTCTCTCGATGTAGCAGAGACTCAGAGGAAAGGTGTCAGGACATGCTAACCCTGGCTATGACAGGAATGGCCTGTGTCACCAAAGTGACACCACCTTTGACTGGAGCCCAAGTCCATCATCTCTAACAGGCAGGGTCATGACTGTTAGTCAGAGCCCCTGGAAAGGCAGAGACTTGGGGAGGGACTCTGAGATTTCCACCAACAGAACAGAGGAGAGGGTAAAAGCACATCAAATTATCTGTCCCACTAAAGCTTTTACTAAGGCAAAAACTCCAATGAATAATATTGTTGCCATAACCACGGTCTTTAACATCCTTATGCTTCAAAAGTCCTATTTTTGCATGACCAGTGTCTACAGTAGCACCCACAGGATTTAACAGCCAAAAATTAGCACTCAGAACCAAATCTGCACCCAGAATACTTCAGCACCTTCTGTTAGAGGATCTGTAAGCACTTTACAAATGTTAACCAACATTTGGCCTCACAACCCCCAGTGAGGTAGAACAGTATCGTCCCTGTCAGGACAGATAGACAGATTGAGGCACAGGGTTACCAAGAGACCTGCTCCCGTTCAGACACTAGATTTAGCAATGCCAAGGGCTGAATGAAGGTGTCCTGACCACTGCACCTATGCTTTGTCCACACTACCATCCTTTCCCCACAAACCTTCAACGTGAGCCCTTGGCCTTTGAACTAAACCCAGGATTCTATATACAGTAGGTGAAATGATCATTTAGCAGTTGCGTAGTCAGAGAGTTATTCAATTAAATGAAGTTATTTGTGGGAAGAAATGATTTCTTGTGCAAGACTCTGGGTGTAAATGATCATGCACTAAGACTACTGGGTGCAAATTTGGTGCATGATAACTGTGACCCCTTGATAATTCCCAATCCTGGCCTCTCTCAGATAAATCTCATTTTTAAGTTGCATTATATGTACCATCACATGAACCTCCAAAGATGCAGCCCGCACAGATAGTTTCGTACCAGCAATGCAAGCAAACAAAATGTGGAGTGGCTGTGGGAACAACCCAGCATTCATGTAGCATCAAACATCACGACGTTATACTTCATCCTAATCACAAGGGGTTGCAGGGGAATAGGTGAGTATGTTGAAACAAAGGCAAATACAGCAACAAAAAAGATTGGATTGCACGGATGTCATTTAGGTAAAGTTCTGTAATAATCAGTTTCATCAAAGGCTTGTTCCATGAGAAAGGGAGGCAATGCCAGCTAGCCTATGACAAAGCTTCGGCGTCGTAAAAACCACCAGCCCTGCGTGAATAGATGAACTTCGCATTCTGTAGGAGTCATTACTGATTAACAAAAGGAGAAGGTTTCTCTAAATACAGTAAGGTTGTTTTTGTCAGATAAACAGTTTCTTAAAATACGGGTTTTTGAACACCACAAAATTCCATTTGTTATATAAGTAGAGAATCTGGCTGTAGTTAGGAATACTGAAGTGTAAAAAACCAAATACGTAGTCTTAAACATTACAAAAACTATCAAAACATTCCATATTTTGAATTGACCTTTCCCCCCCCCACATGTGTCTATTTTGGCAGTGATGACAAGATTTCTAAACTGAGTTATTACTGTTCTGCAGTTGTTGGTTGGGTTTTTTTGTACATTTTTCTGAAAGTGTTTTTTAAACAAAAGAAAATTACCAGCTTTTATAAAAAAGAAGGAGCGTGAATCCTTACTCCCAAAACACAGATACAAGGTTTTCCTTTATAAAAAGTGTATTGATTTTTTGCTATAAAAAGTGACTTATAGGGTGTCAAACCTGAAAACAAATTTTCACAGTGTTTTCAGTGTTGGCTGTTCACAAGGCATTACTGTTACAAACAGAGATAGAGAGATACCATAGTGTAGGCATACAAATCTGTTACCAGCTAGCAGGATCGTTAGATCGTATGTGAAAGGTGTTCCACTCCAGATAACTCAGCTGACTTACTTTCTTTTTTGCTTAATCATTAAAAAAATTCTTTTAAATCCCAATATTTGAGTAACTGTTGTACTAACCTTACTTAGCATCTTATGCAACCATTCCAAATCTCATCCAAGCTTCTGCTGGCAGATGAAGCATCAAACGAGCCAGTAATTTTCCTTCCTGCCTTCCAACAATAAAACCAATACTAGTTAGTATGCTAACTAGGTGCTAAATCAGGGCTGCAAATGAGGAGCAGATGAGCTGGCAAACGGTGGTTTGGACAGGTGGAGAATATAATTTGCTCTACTTGAGCTTGCAAATTGGTCAGCAAGCAATCCATCTGCACACTTTCGGGGGAGCTACTTTACTATCACTAAGAAAACAGTTGCAGCAGAAAAAGAAATAATAGAGGAAAATGGGAAATGCACAGGGTCATTGACATATTGGCCCCAAATTGCTCTCAATGTCCATTTCACACCCCTGTTATCTTAGAAGAATGGTATCCCTCTATCTCTATAGACTGGTAGGTGTTGAATTGTGGCACGGAGATAAATCACAGAAAAAAAAATGACATATAACTGTGTGTCCTTTGATTTGAAAGCACCAGTCACCTGTCTGCTTATTTTGGCAGAAGTACTCTACTGTATCTTAAACATAGCTTGCAATATGGACATTTAGCTTCGTGTCGCTTTACATGGAATCTCCAAGGGAATCAGAGTCATCCAAAGACAGAGGCAGATACAAGTCCTGTAGGAAGAAAGAAGAAAATGTTAACTCACACAGTTTCCACCTTTGGTCATAATGAAGCAGTCAAACGGCCCAGTTCACGGGGACAGGGTGCAAGACTCACACCCTGGTTACTGGATGGGCTGATGAGTTGTCCAGGTAGTTGAAGGCTAAAATCAAGGCAGGTTACTTGCAGGGTGGAGCAAGAAAATCTTGGTACTGGAAGAAAGATGACTATTCAGTGATAAGTTTGAGAAGTATTTTTTAACCGTTTCTGGATTAATCTGTCCTTTATAGCACACGCATGAAAGAGCGGGACCTTTCCTTAAATAGGTGTCTCAACCTAAGGCCACAATAAAAAGTCTTACCTTGATTTGACAGCTACCCTTAGGATAAGTCTCTAGGAAAATCACATTTATGTAATTTCTGATTGATTAGAAGGGTTAAGAAAATAATCCCAAGTTTATTATTTGGATCAAATGCTGAAGGGTAAAGCTTTTCCAGGGTCCCTTACTGGGGTAACCATTGCATTCCACTTCCTTGAAGTTCTTCTTGGAACTAGGTACACAAACCTGCCCAAGGCTAAAGCTTCTTTGGACCTTTTTGAACTCTGATCCACACACAGGTAGCAACTGTGAGGAAAGCAAAGAAAAGCCCAAATACACAGGAAGGAAATTCACAATAATCTTGACATGAGAAGGAGGTAAAATATGACTTTGTGGTGAACTCAACCTAAGCATTTGTCATTTGAGCTTTAGGGAAAAAAAAGTAAAGCCGTTTCATCATAAGCAGGAAATTGCTCCTGGGAGGAAGACAATGATGCATGAATATTCTAGTAACCTAAAATGCTACATTCGTGTTTGCTGAATGGCTGAAGTTAGTGGAAAAGCTCATAAATGGATTTGCTTTGCCCTCAGCAGTTGTCATCTATTACAATTGTTCTAGGGGCTTCACTGGAAAGGTCATAAATCAGCCAGCTGAAAACATGCATAAAGCATTAAAGAAGGTGAGGTTTATGTATCTTTACCAGGAAGCAAGTACTCATATCCAAAGTCCTAAATGAGATGGTGTTTGGAAAGCATTTTAGGTTCTTGATGGCTGAAGCAAAGGATGCATTACTTTTGCTGAAATACATACAAGCAATTGCTGAATTCAGACTGTGGGCCAGATCCTGTTCTAAATTATAAATTAATAATAAATCTGGCCACACTGTATTAAAATGGGTGAGTTTCCTCAAATTTAGACTGAGCATCTACAAGCAGAGTGGAGTCCTAAGAAAAACACAGATTTGGTTTGGATTCAGCTATGCCTTTGTTAAAGAAAGTCAAATAAAGTTGAGTAACTACAGCATCTCCATAAATTGGGAATATTTTAAAGATCTGATTTTTGAGAAGCCAAAAGTCCACCCCAAGCTCCCCCAATACCATTCAACCCCATGTCCATGGGGAGATCCATGGCAGTGATCCAAAATCTTACATCTTAGAGCTGTAATCCAAAGCCCATTGGTCTTCTTAGGATTCTCCCCACTTTCTCTGTGCTTTGTTCCACCATCATAACAACTGTAGTCCAGCTGCTGCTTCCACTTCTCACTTTAAGAAGAGACGTAATTCTCAAACAAAATCAGTTTAACTCCTGCAATCTAGACCACAGTGGATTACATGTGGTGCGCTGACTGCAAAACCTCACCACTGTCAGAATTTTAATTACTCTTCCGGAATTTCAAGTCGATGCTTTCAAAGTCATCCTCGGGCTGAGAGGTACATTCTGATCCCTAAAGAGAACTCCCACTGACATCCTCTCACACTTCCGTTTATGTCCAAGTTCCAAGTTCTGTATCAAGTAAAGACTGTTGGAAGCAACACTGTGGCTATTCCAGAAATGAGAAAGCCCATGGAAATGGCAATCTGGACTCAGCACTGAATAACAGGAACATAAAAAGCTGTGACAGTTGCTATACCTTTTAAATAATCAATACACATATTATCTATGAGCCAGCACAGGTTTACTGATCTTTACTAGGATGCCATGCTACCTGTCAGACACTCTGTTTGGTACCAGGAAGAACAGTTGCTGTACCAGAACACAATTACTACACTGTAAAAAATCACTTACTTCCTGTAAAACAGGGAAAGGCCCTAAATAATTAAAAAAAGATCCTTGAGAAGCATCATTAAGCGATGTTTTACAGCTTCCTATCATTTGCATTTCTTCTGCCGTTTAATGGAACAGATTTGCCAACACTTAAGGCTTTTCAAATGAGGAGGATTTATATGGAAATCATATCCATCAATAACTTGTGAATTTTTTCAAATAGAGAAAGAAACTCAGGGTTAAATTCCCTCTTCTGACCCATATAGGTGATCTCCAGCACACATTAATAACTCCAGTGAAAGAAACAGGCCAATGATTTCTTATTCATCATCTTGCTAGAGGCCAAGGTGACAACCCTTTCAGGTAACAGGCCAAATTCTCCACTGTTTCAACATACGGAGTTGTGCTTCCGGAGAATATGGCCATGACTTAAATGTCATACAAATCTGAGTAAACTAAGGAAGAAACAGATGTAGTAAGGTATAAGAAACGTAATACCTTGTGCTTGCGGAGGCTCCCTGGGCTGGTAGGTGTGGAGATCGGGGACTGCTTTGATTTGGGTGTAGACAGCTGACTGCTTGAGGTCCCGTTTGCTGTCAGAAAACAAGACAGAAGCTAGCAATCAGACAAGCAAGAGGAAGATCTGCTTTCTCCTTCAGGGATATGGAAGGTATCCAAACATTTAACACAGAAATGCTACAGTTTATTCATGTTAGGCAGGAGGAAAAAAAGCAAGCGAACACCAAGGCTATTCACTCGACCTAAGGCTTTCAGCTGTTCAGGATAATAGACTACAGTGAATTGACATTACAGTGAAACACAAAATATGTTGAAGGAGCAATATTTTACACTACAGATAGTCACCAAATTGATCCAAGAAATACAACACCAGAAAAACAGAAAGACAATTTCTAGGTTCTCAAACAGTTTAACACAACTTGAAACCACATGGCATGTAAGGGCATGAGTGGAAACCAGGGGCTGCAGATATCCTGGATCCCATACAACAAATGTTAGATGTCAAATATACTACACATTACAAATTAGGCAAACAGCTGACCTTTTGGGTTGCTTTGTTTGTTCATGTTGCTTTGAAGAAAACATAGTTATTCTTCATTTAAAAAAATATGATTCATTTAAGCAAACAGCTTTTTGGAAGGTTTGTTTGTTGAGGCCTTCACAGACCCTGAAGGGCCCCAGGTCTGTGTCGGGTCAAGCTATTATGCATTTATTGGACTAAAAGGGAATCAAAGTAAAATGGCATATTATGGAGAAAAATGAAGGTAAACAAAACGGAATAAGGGCAAGTTCATTTTTTCCTACCACTGATGTTCTTTGAAGTAAGCTAACGTCTTTGATAATTGCCAGGTGTCACAATAGGTATTTCATAAGGACATACAAGTAGTGCACTTGGTCATTCATAGGTTGTGTATCAACTCCAGGGATACAGACCCTCTTGTTACCAGGGGTTGTAAACACAGAGCTCCATCAGCACAAGCAGCATTACTTGAGGGAAGGAAATTCAAACTCATGCTGGCTGTGTCCAAGTATATTATCTTTTCTGGCCTTTTCTTTTTGCAGTCCAAGCAGCAGCAAGCTGGAGGCCTTATGAGCATTAAACTACATATCCCAGTCAAGGCTACAGAAAGTGACATTTCCAAAACCTACTCCAGATGTTAACATATTCAGCACAAGCCACCAAACCAAACCCCAAATATTTTGATTGCCGTTTCCTTAAATGGCAACAGTGTTGCCAGCCCTCCAGATAACTATCCAAATCCCTACCCCTTTTGAAGAAAGCCTTTTTAGTTGTGTTGACGCTTCACACAGAGAGAGGAAGACAGGCATGTAATGATCCAGGCTTGTTGTCCTGCTCTCTGTGTGCCCAGTACCCCTCTACACCATTGCTCTAACGGTGAAGGCATGCACGCAGGATGGATGATTTCAGCATATGGGACATATGCTTTCAATTGTAATAGCTGAATATGCAAATGAGACAGTTCAAATTAAGCGAGTGTCTGGAGGAGACCTAAGAAGTATCATACAGTATGAAGAAGGTGTGTGAGTGTTGTCTTTTTAAGAGCAAAACCAGCATAACTCTTGCTTTAATGCCCCAGACAGCTTCATCCCTCTTCTCCGTTGCCTTGTGAGAAAGAGGGGGCAGTTAAGGTTCGTGGTATCACTGGCCCAAACGTAGAAGTCATACATGTGAATTCAAGTAAGTGCAAAGAAACATGTGCTCTGAGACACAGGACAAAGGAGGAGCTGCTGGCATGTTAAAGCAGCTCAGACTCAACAGATTCATGGTGATGTGGGCCCTCTGTCCTCATATCCATCATTTCTGCGCAGCAGGTACTACTGGGAAGAGAAGGCTATTCATCACAGATAGCTTTTTTCCCATTACAAATGCACCTCACTGGGGAAATAGATATTTCTTAAAAGGTGGTAGAAATAATGACTTACAGATAATTGGGAGAGTTACCCTTCACCTTCCCATTCCACTCAGACCATTCTTTATTGGTGGAGGGAAAAAACTAGTTATGGAAACCCAGAAACTGCTGCACAGCGGTCCCTGCACTGTGACACGCTATTTTTTACTTCGCTCCAGTTCTACAAAGGGAGCTGCCCTTGAGGTTGGGGGGAAAAAAGTAGAGTTCACTAACTATATGCCACATAATGAAGGCAATTCAGGAAAAAAGAACGTGGATCTCTTTTACAAAGTGACTTTGGGTTTTCTATTACAGAAAATGTGGGGTACAATAGCACTAATATGCTCTGCATTAGCTAGAATCCACCTCTAATTTCTAAAATGCCTCTTTCTTTCTTTATTTCCAATTATCACTGATCCTGAGGCAGGAAGTATCCTCCCTAAGATGAAGAATGCCATTTAACAACTGTACAAAGAACCCAAATTTCCCTTCCACATACAGGAAGATTGGAACAATGGCTAACAGTCGTGTGCAGCAAATAGATGTAATTGCTGCAGGGAAGGACAGAAATTCCCTAATACAATGAAACTTTTAAGTGCCACAGAAGGGATGTTAATATTTTATGAGCACCAACAAAAACCAGATGTGACATCCAAATCAGAAATCCAGTGAGATGGATGTATATCATTACAAATACTCAGAGTTTTGCAGCAGGAGCAACAATTAAGAAGCCCAGTTTAATTTTCTTTGTGCCTGATAATAAAGAATAGTGTTCATCATCAAACTTGCATGCGTTTCTTTTGAACTCAAATGCAAGAAAATAACAAGAGGCAAAGAGCAGATCCCAGGTGGTGTATAATGCTGCTGCTCCATTAAAAGCTGCTGCTGATTTATGGTGGCTAAGCTCAGCTATTGGACACCATTCTTTACAACCAGCTTCCATTTGAATGCATTTGGGCTTTTTTCTACCATGTTATTGTTTTTGCATTATGTCTTATTTATGGCATTGCATTTGCTTTGCAACCTCAGTTTAACTGAACACCCCTTTGTGCATGTGACACATCCTTTATTGCATGAACATGTGTGCAAGACTTGTTTTCCTAGGATCCTTCCCTCCTTCAGCGCACAAGACAGTTTGTACTCAGGAGAAAAGTCAGGCTTGTCCAGCAACTGAGAGGGAGGATGGAGAATATAGCATCATGTCATGTTTGACATTGCTATGACAGATCCAGGTAAACTGACTTCTCTGCCTGCTCCTCCCACAGATCTTTTAGCCAAACTCCTCATATGCAGTAGTTCCTTGAGTGTTGCTCTGGTTTGTTTGGATGACTAGGACTCTGGATTTGAATTTCCAGCAAAGATAAGCACTGAGACCTGTAAATAAGGTTAATGAGGTCCATCTTTTGAACTCACATATTTATCCATGGAAAGAACTGGAAAAAGTAGGGCCTGAGGATCACAGTGAGCCGTCAAAATATGTTGAGATACCTCTTTTTCTATCAATTTGTAAGATAAGGTTCATGCTCCTCGCTCCACTGGGGTTCCAGGCTTCTGCAGATGAGTTCCTAGCTGGAGGAGCACATGCTCCTACATCACAAGTGTGAGAGTAAGAACCATGAAATATGTGGATAGTTTTGTCTCCAGGTCAGGGTTTGAAGTGTCACCAAGAAAACAGAGAGGCAACAACCAGAACAAGGACAGCATAAGGCAAATGTAGAAATAGCAGCTTATTAATGAGCACAAGACATCCTGCCCTCCAGGACAGAGGAGCCTGTGGGGAAAATAAATACTCCATTGTAGCGTATTTAGGACTGGAAGAATTCAGATTGCATGGGCACCCTTTGCTCAGGCACCTCCTGACTCCCAAGCACTCAGCTCCACAGTATTGGCACCCTTTTCTCATCACGTTTTGTGAGGGTGATCTCTCCACTGGATGCGTGCTGTGGATTGTCAGCTAGCAGAGCGTAAGAGCAAGTGGGATAGCAAGCTGCTCTATCTTGTGTGCAATCCAAAAGACATCTGCTGCCTTTTTAATACATTCATATGTAATGACCCTAGGGAGCCAGATCTGCAGTCGGGACAGACTGACGTGCTGTATCTGTTTTGCTAAGTGCTGCTGCATTGTGAATATACTCCTGTCCCTCTATCCAAACCCTTCCATTAGAGGACTGAGAAAGTGAAGTCCTGCAGCAGTGCCTCAGAGCCCTGGTCACAGGCTCCCTCAGCCACATCAAGGCAAAGCTGGGGAAAAACATTTTCAAATTTCAGCTCTGGTACCTGTGGCTCTGTACTGTAAAGGACTATGATCAGGCTGGTTTTTAAAACCATAAACTCTCCTGTCACAGCACATGTATTTATACAACTGAACCCTTGTTTGTTATGAGAGTTACTGTAAGATAAATCCATATTTTTGTAACAAAGAAGTAATGGCAGGTGATATCATTATTTTCTCTCCTGTATTTCTCCCCTGAGATTTTGCTCTGTCTTTTGTTTGGTTCGACTTCTTATTGGAGTAGTCTGTTAAAGAAATTTTGCCGAACTTCATGCTGACCCTACCCCATTTAAATCTTACTGACCATAACAGCAGGACAGAGACTTATCTCCTTACTCCCAGTTTTCCTCTATCATGTTAGGAGGAGGAATTGCATGGTATGCTGCAGAAGTAGTCTAGTCTGGTATTTTATTGCTCCAAGCTATGTCATTTAGCAAAGCTGACTTTGTAGGAAAAAAAAATAGAGGCGGAAAGAACCATAGGAGCTTTGTAACTCCAATTCTGTGCTCTAAATTGGGATCAGATGTATTTGGGTCATCCCCTATAGAGATCTTATTTTTCAAAAGCACAAGGTCTGACAGGGACTCCTAAGCTCCCCAGGAGATCTGCTTCAGTGATTAAGATACTTAAAGTTGAAAAATGTTCTTAATACCTGAACTATGTATCCCTTATTAAAGAATAAACCAATATCCTCTCCTATTCCCTCATAAACTCACAAGAAAATTGATCCTTATCCTCTTTTTAATACTTCATATGCATTTGAAGACTGTTAAATTGCCCCTTCTTGATCTTAATTTTTTCTGAGCTGAATCAGCCTATTTCCCTCAGCCTTTCTGAACCTTAGGAAATTTCTTCCGGATTTTCTCTAGTTTGCTTCTGTCTTTCTCAGCATATTCAGTCCATACTAAAACACAACCTGAGCTCAGCTAAGGCCAGACAGAACCACCAATCCCTTCCAGTCTCAATTCACACTTGCTATATGACAAACCAGTTCAGCTCTACTAGATAACATTTGGGAGACAAGAGAAAGGCACTTGGATGTCTTCTTGTAGAGAGAGAAGTAAAATCCTGCTGCATTTTGCTAACCCCACCTTGCTGGCAGCAATGTTTTGGGGGAGTTAGGTGCAGGATGTAGACAAAAGACTGCATCACAGCTCCAGCACCGAAGAGATGGGAAAGTAAAGGTTATGTTGGAAGCCCAATGGGAACAGCTAACAAAGCAGCCAGGGCCTTCCAGTCAAACTGAACCAAGAGGTGAAAACAGCCCCATGATGGAACGGTCAGCACCGTATCTGGAGGAATAGTTGGATCAAAACAGAAACACACTGACATTGCTGAGAAGGTGTATATATGGGTTGGGGGTTAATGAGAGGAGGAAGAAAGGATTCCCCTTGGGAATATAAGGACTGTGGTCTGTTACCATCTGCTTATAGCAGGACACTTCTTCATTCTTCATTCTTCATTCATTCATTCATTCATTCATTCATTCATTCATTCATTCATTCACTTAATTTTCATTCATTCATTTAAATGACTGTATGGTAAATAAAGAGATAAAATTACCGTGCCAAGAAAACAGTGTTTAACATGTTTCTGTGGATTAGCTACCTCATTTTTTTAATATCCTTGGAGCTGATGGGCTCTGGCTGTCTAGAGGGAATTGAGCTTTTCACAGTGAGGCCATGACACATCTAGGCAGGAGGCGAATTAACTCCAGCAGAAGGTAGCCATTCAACCAGTGAGCTCGAAGCTGCAGCTGGGAGCTGGCACTCTGTGCAGTGGCACTTCTGTGCACAGCCTTTTGTCCTGACCCTTTTAACAAAATATTTCATGTGTTCTTTGTTGCTCCGTGTTAATCCTTGTTATTTTGGAATGGGAGCTGACCACTTACTTAGGTGGCTTGCTACCAGGACTGCTGGTAGCAACAGGACAGTCAAAGAACACATTACAGTTCACATCTAGCTGGTGATCGGAGCAATTAAATGGCTAGGAAGCTGCTTCTTTTTCCGTGCTTGATTTACAGACTTGCTACATATATTCCTTCTGTATTCTGCTGTTGTTCTGAGTCAGAGGTGGCCCCAGAGACCAGAGTCAGGAATAAAGCTTTGGGTGCCATCAGGGGAAATGGGACCCCAGCCAGCAGCACACTCTCCCTGTGGCTCTCCCAGAAAGCTAGTTATACCTGGATCTATGTTTCGTATTAAGATCACTAAATCCATAGCCAAAACCAGAAGGAGCAAAGGGTATCAAAAATGAATGGAGATCACCTGTCACAGAAGGCAGGTCCCTACACAGAAAGCTTCCAGGCTGACAAGTCAAGAGATAAGGTCTACACAGTCTGTGACAATGGCTAACACAGCACCAGGCCACAGAGCTGTATCATTCGCCTGCAGAAGCTGACAGTTTACTGTGGCAGAGTGTGAGAGTGAGCAGGTTGCTGGAGCAGTCTCTGATCCACTGGAGAGTGGCCTTGCTAGAGCGTGGCTTGCCTTGGTTGGATGGTCTAGAGCTTATCCTGCAGCCACTCTGCTGCTGGAGATGTCTTTTGTCTCTGGTAGATTACAGAGCTCTGTATACAGATTGGTTATCGCTGCCTTGGACAATCCATTGGGGAAGAAGGCATGAAGAGCTTAAATGATGCACTCAAAGCCGTGGAGTGAGTTGGTGGAGGAGACGGGAATAAAACACAAGTCCCCGAATACCCCAGGCTGTGTGGAGGATAGCTGCTGCTCGGGCACAAAGCATTTCCACAGATTTGAATGGGAAGTGTTTTATTTATGTTGACACACAAAGATAGCAGCATTCCTACAGTGAATGGCAGAGAAAGCGGATGCAATGTTTGCATGCTGTCAATGTTACATCCTCAGATTTAGCACTAGCAAGCTCTGCTGAAGCAGCTTTTTCTATTCTCTCTGTGCTTATTACTTTGGTCCACTACCTGCTGGTAGCATGGAAGCTTTTGCCACGGAGTGAGGCACAGTTGTGCATGCACAATCTGCATTAAGCCTTGGCTGCCTCTGTAGGCAATGCATGGGGATGACTGCCCACATGTAAACCAACTGCATTCTCATTTTTGCCGCTGATAAATCATGTACTTGAAATAAAATTACATTTAAATCTTTTCACAAATGAAATAGGTGAGAATGCTGAGAAAAAAATGGGTTGGACCATCTTTTATTAATCAGGCTTCATTCAGCATTCCTTGCCTTTTTAATATGATAACTTCAAAATCCAGCTAAGCCTGTTGCTTGTGTATGGAAATATTGATTCTTAAGTAATGTGTAGAGCCACTCTCTTTATTTCAAATTCAAGGGACAAAACCACAAGACGGTATTCTTCTTTTTCTCTCTGTCCTGAGAAAACAACTCTCTTTGATTACCTTCTCAGCACTGAGAGTCATTTTTTAATTCTCATTAAGCAGGACAGGCTGCCATTTTTCTCTGTATTGAAATCACAGAAAAGTACGAAAGACCCTTGTCTAGTTGGATTAAAGAAACCTGATTTGTCCTTCATTACTGGCCTTAACTCCAGGAGCTGGCTATTGTTCAGCATTTCTGGTTATTTTAATCTCCTTCTAAAAGGCTCCACTAACCGTGTTCATTAAACTTCATCAGATGACTCACCATTTTGTTCCTCTGAGTCACTCAATCAGTCAAAACCAGGAACACAATAGTTGCCATTTCACATTAGACTATATGTTCATGCAATAAAGTCTAGTTCTGATGATAATTAGCACCTGATGCTTATGGAGAAGGTTTAAATGCTGTTTCACAGCTCCTACATGCAGTGACTCCCATATCGTTTGCCTTCAATGTATCTACGCAACTTTAGCATGCATTTGGGATTGTAAAGGCTTTTTAGATTATAGCAAGCCTGAGTTTAAGAACAGCCAACACTGGAATCTTAAAGGAAAACTCTATGAATGAAGAATCACCTTACACAGAACTAACTTTTTTAAAATCACAGAGCCTTGGCATGTGCCAACCAACTAGCACCAGCTTCTTCTTTTTAAAACTTTGCCAGTGTCACATGCAAACACCCCAGATCAGTGTATCCAAAGACACACAGTATGTGTTTTTCTCTTGAGCACAGTTAAGATTCAAACACCAGAAAACAAACACTCACCATCTTGATGGTTACCTGAATCGGCTGGAGACTTGCTCCGGCGCATGGGGGCTGGACTCTTTGCTGAGCTCTTCTGAGGGGTGGGAGATGACTTACTGCCCGTGGCAGTCGCAGGGCTCCCTTTCATCACCCGGCACTCTAAGGAAACAGACAGCAACCGTGGTTATGTCCCTACCTACTCTCGCTGCCCACGGACACCAGGTATGAAACACCCATGGGCAGCTTAGTGCTTTGTCTCCAAAGAGCTACAGAAAATATCAGTGGCAAGGGAAAAGCTGGTATGTCCACATTTTCTCCAGAGCAGAAAGGAGACTTTTTAGGGGGAGGGCAAAAAGAACAGCTTTGCTTCTCTAGAGAAGGTGCTGAGACAGTGTACGTCAAGATCAGGCCATACCTGTGTCCTACCGTTGATTTTCTGCCCTTGCCTTGGTTCTCACCAACTAGGGCGCACAATGAAACTGGCCAAGTCTGACTGAGGAAAGAATCAGGCCAAAAAACCCAGTTAATTTGCTGTTTTTTTTTGCAGGAATAATGAGTGCAATTTATGCAGGTGCAGAAAGCTAGCAAACAGCTCATGGCATGACATAAAGGTGTCTAAGTGGCAGATGTGACATCTGCCCCAGGAGGCTTTCACCCACCCTGAATCAACCTCTTCTGTGGTTTCAACAAGCTGCAACTTTTCAGATGCAGAAAGCAAAGAAGACAAAATGGTTTTTACAAAACACGTCCTCTTGCCCTGGCCATTTGTCCCTTTCACAAAGGTTCCTATATACAAGTCTAATAGATTTATATACTTAAAGAGATGAGCAGATGAGAACCCCAACTGTGTTTTCTTAAAAAATAAATAGGCCAGGAAGAAGGGAAAATGTCAATACAATCTATGGTGTCCTGCAGAAGGGAACTGAAATGCTAACAAACCTCTGTGTGTCCCAGGATTTCAGGCATGCCAGATCTTCAAACCCAGGGTTTATTTAGATTGAGAACTAACAGAAAAAGCACTTTCCACCCCCTGAGTTATTAACTTAACCCAGTTAAGAAGGAGGCAATAAAAAGGGGATTTCCTTTTTGTCAAATGCTAACTGGTCTCACCTCATCTCCTGCAACAGATTGTTCTCACTAAGATGTGAAAAACAGGTCTGTTTTACAGAAGTGAATTAGATGTACCACATACATTTTTTTCTGGAAAAGTTCAGCTCAGCATGCATGGGCTGAACTGAGAGCTCCCTTGACTGGATTCCCTAATGGGAATCAACTAAGGCAGCACATAGTGGATAAATAATTGGTCAACCAAAAACAAGTTATCTGACCTAAATGTATGTGTTATTTATTTATATATCAGTATATCTATGAAAATGGAATTGCCTTAAATTTTTCCCCAGGCTTTCCTCATTCTCAGACAGTCAAGACTCAGTCTCTTCTTCTTCCAGATGGTTTGTGAGAGAATTTGCTGTTGGGTCATGCAGTACAAAAATATGAAGAGAGGATGGCTCCTCAGTTCAAGAAGGACAAGGAACTACTGGAGAGGGTCCAGCGCAGGGCCACTGCAGAATTCACTGCAGAAGTAGTATTTTTCAAGGCACTTACAGCTCTTAGCTGTTTAACAAAACCAGTGCAACATTTCAGTCTTAGAGCATGACTCAGTTCCCCAGCCATAGACACAAACGCTACGAGAGATACACCAGAGTACAGCCCCACCCAGAGCAGAGTGTCTCCTGGTGCCTGTGTGATATCTGTCAATCCTATGTCACATGGGTATCTCAGAAACCAAGGGTGTTTCAAAGGTTGTCAAGACATCCATGTTTAGTCACCTGAATTACTCCCTAAAAAAATAAACCTGAACAGTGAAAGTAATTTATGTTGTGACTTTTCAAGAGCTTTCAAATGTTTTTTCTTCCCAGGGGAGTAAATCCTTGCAAAAAACTCAGCTTCCCATTTCCCAGCACAGAAAGGCTGACTGAGGAATTCCTCCAACTCAGCTGTTGGCAAGTGTCAGTACACCAAAGGCAATCACAGAGCATTTGCACCTCTTGAAACAAGGTGTATACAGGCCTTTAAATATCACAGAGGGTGTGACATTTCCGTGGGCTGATCCTGAAACCAGTGGGTACGAATGTGACAGAGCAACCATCATCTGGAAGGTGCTCAGCAACAGGGATTATAGGGCGGAAGCTGTGGTGGGCAGTCACGAGAAAAAAGATGACATAATCCTCTCTTATGCTATTTCTCATTTTGTTTCCTGATGTCCTGCCAGAATGAACATAATAACCAGCAATCCAAGTGCATGTCATCCAAATAGGCAAGAAAAAGTACCCCTTGACAGAGGAGATTTTAGCAAGTGACATTCATCTGCAAGACCTCAGGACTCAAGAGTTCTTGCAGCATCTGACTCATAACAAGGAAGGACGATGGGTGGAAAATGGGAAAATGCTGCGGGTGAATAGCTCCTCATCTACTATTTGAGAGATGCAGGGCACCCCTACTCCCCTGAAAATACCACTGAGAGATGCAGTTACTTGGTGCCTTCCCAACAGCAGGCTTGGCTTATTTTTGTAAGACAAATCCAAGCTGGAAAAATCAGTAGTAACCAGGAGTGTAGGCAGAGAGCTGGGCTTCCCATCAAGTTGTTCTGCTAGGATTGCATCCAAACTGTTTTACAGTGTGTAACTCCCTGTGGAGCTGACTCAACTACCGAGTGTTAAAAAAAATATGAAGCTCAGGTTACAGATTGCTTCCCCAGCCTGACACAGTCGTTATTCTCTGTCTGCAAACTTCCAGCTGAACATTGGAAATTTTCTTTCCATTACCCAAGACTACCAAATGGGTTCATCTGGAGTACACAGGTCAGAGGTACCAGCATCAAATAAGATCAGGCTTGCAAAGGAGTCATAAAATTACAGTGTTCAAAGATTAGAGGCTGCTTTACTTCCTGGTACACAGTGAAAGTCCTATTTGGTCTTAAATGCTGAGCCAGTTTGGAGCATATAAGACAACATGGGGCTCCTGTTCCTTATACAGGGTATCTAGAGCTTTGGGAAACGAGCCTGAATTTTGAAAGACCACCTATTCTTCTAGTTTAAATGGTCAAGGTTACATTAATTTACTCTTGCTGCACTCACTGGCACCAGCAGGCAGCCTGCGCTGTTGGTATATACAGTTGCCAGGTGGGGTAGGTGGTAACTCCTACAAGGAATCTCTGAATATTCTGTGAAATCAAACATTTCATGGCTTAATTGATCATAGAGACTCACGTTATTACAGATCTCTGCTTGCAGTTGTAACAGGAATAAGTAATAGTGCTGTCCCAGTCTGCCCCCTAAAAAGGGGGATTATTTTTGAATCAGCAGAAAAAAATAGTGGAGGGAGTGATTTTTCTTTTAACTGTGCTTGTTCCTATGTTTTTAATATTCACATGTGTATGTTAAGGACAAGAGTCCTTCTGCTGTTTATTTCTCAATACAAATGTATCTATCTGACTGTAACTGGATAAAACTGAAAGGATATAGATATATCCTATATAGATATATAGGTATATTATAAAGGATAAACCACCAGGTTTTGCAGTAGATGTCAAATGGTGTAGGAGTCCATCTATTCCGACTTGGGCTACCCTCAGTCAGTATTTGCCCAGTTATAATATGTGCTGACTGTACAAACATGACAAAAGGCTGTTAAATTCCATGTACTAGGTCTTAAAAAACCAGAACAAAAGCATGCAACATTATTATCCGATACAAGCAACTGAATGGAAATCAAATGAAAACACAGAGTGGAGAGCAGTGTGTTTGATATTACCGCTTTCATCCAGAGAGAAGTCATCCTGTGCATAGCGGAATTTTTCTGGACCACAGGCGATAAACACATCATCATCTCCAAAGAAATCGTGGAGACAGGTCACCTACAGAGAGAGCAAAGTCATTTATTTTATTTTTAATTGGCAACATTCTGATGTGGCTTAGTTTTAATTTAAACAGGAGGGAGCTGCCTCTCCGCTGTTCCCCCTGTCCCATGCTGATTCAGTCCTACTTCCCGTAAACCCGGTGCAGCGCACACAACTTCTCTGGACCAGTCAAGCGTAAAAGTGTAATTAAAAGAGAGGAAAAAAAATCCCAACTACCTTGCAAATTCTCTGAGGTGTGGCATTTCCAATCCATTCAGCAGCTGACAGAATGCATTAGTCA